GACAACTGAAACTTACTCCTACAGAGGACCTTCTTTTTTTAATTTAATGTATTATCATAATCTTTTTTATATTACATTGAACCATATATATCTTTACAGTGTATTACATTTCTTTTTCAGCATAATTACCATGCATATCAGTCAAGACAACGACATTACTATCCACATCCTCATCATCAAATAGCTTTTGATCATTTTTTAGATTATTATTATTTATTATCATTAATTTTTTAAAAGTTCAATCACTATATATCGTTTGGCTTGTATAAAGAATTTACCCAACATGAAATACTTCTCAGACCAGTCCAGTTGAGAATACTACACATGTTATCATCCACAGGTAACAAACCATTTCTGTATCCCACTAACATCATGCCTCGCTATTTGTTCTCTTGCTCCCACAGAGGACCTTCTGAGAGATGCTGTAGAGCACTCCTTTGGAAATGCCTTCTGTGGGGCAAGAAAGTTGTGGTATTTCCACCAACTCTCATCCTTCGTTCGTTAGAGATTGCCCCAAGGGAGGTAACTCCGCGCAGTCTAGGCTGGCCCATGTGTGGGTAGAGCATCCATCAGAACCAGACAATATCTGAAGACAAGGCATAGGTATCCATCAGCCCTCTACTGCAGGTGAACTTTGGGGTGGGTGGACTGAGATTTGGGAGGGGCAGTGTCTGACCTAGAGGGTCACTGAGCTGTAAAAAAATGGAAATGGTGGTAAAAGAAAATTTCAGAGAAGACTGTGTGAAGCGAGGAGAAAGACACAGTGATAGCTAGTGCTATATAGTTCTCACATTTAATTCATAGATTCATAATGTTTTAGCACTCAATATTTCAACTGCCATCTTCAAGAGAAAACTTGACATGAGAGGAGCTAAGCTGTCCAAAGGTTCACAGCCATGGAAGGTACAAATCTCATAACTCCAATCATCTTTTTTTTTTCACTTGACAGAGGGCAGACACAGTCCTCAGAGAAAGAGAGAGAGAGAGAGAGAAGATAAAGAAATGGGACATGGTTACATGTCACAATCCCTTCTCCTCCATTTCTCCATCCTCTCATGATTGGGGGCACACATGCACACAAGCCCAGCAAGTAGTTCGCATCACCAGAGCCAGAACTCAACCCATGCTGTTAGCCATGTGGGATCAGCTCCCTTAACCACGAGGCTACGGGGCCAGCCCGCCAACCATCCTTTTACTCTTACATACTTCCTCACTAATATGATCCATCATAAAGTGGAAAAAATAAAATAAAAAGGAGGAGCTATGAAATCAGTGTGATCATCTGCTTTCAGATGGGCCATGAACAGCCCCCAGAGAGCAGGTTTATAAGCGATGTCCAAGCAGAGCAGATGAGAAGGCATCTACTTCTTGAAATATGTGTAAATATTTTCCCCCAAGAGCTCATCTTTTCTTCATGTTTATATCGTCCACAGTTTTTGAAGAAGTAAAGATAACCAGGTGGCACGTGTACGTGTGTGCCCAAGAGGAGAATGGAAGAGAAGGGATTGCGGCATGGCCATCCCCCCCCCCCGGGGGGTGATTTCTTGCTTTGTGTCTCTCTGTCTCTCTCTGTCTTTCTGGCAAGTGCATTCGCCCTATAGCAAAAACCTCTCCAAAAAAAAAGAAAGATAACAAAAAATCTTCCACAGAACATTGCTACTGTGTGTTATATGTACATTAAGGTGTATAACTTACAGGGAGAAAAACTGTATTTCCCCAGTTTAGTTACAGAGAATGGAGGAGAAGGGATTGCGGCGTGACCATCCCCCCTGGGGGGTGATTTCTCGCTTTCTGTCTCTATGTCTCTCTCTGTCTGTCTGGCGAGTGCACGCGACCTACAGCGAAAACCTCCCCAAAAAAAAAAAAAAAAAGAAAGAAAGAAAGTGAGGCTGAATTACTGAAGGCAGTAGGTATTAGTAACCCTCCAAGTAATAAGTTAGCATACGTTGGAGGAACAAAATCCTACTAAAGCCAGATATATCATGGGCTTCTTGGAAATGACCTAGAGAGCTAAAAGAAAAACAAAAAAAATCAATATTACAGAGCATTTCATCATTTATAAAGGACAGCATTCTCGGAACTGGTTTTAGTAACAGTCTAAAACTATATCTTCTAATAGAAGAACATGCCTTTAGTTACTGGTGAAATTCTCCTGGCACCAACTGATTTATTCAGGGAATGTAAAAAGATTTGAGATATTAAAACCTTATATTTGAAAGGTTACCTTCTCTACCTAGATAATAATTATATATGAGGTTAAAAATATGACATGACAAAATAAGAAGGCATCAACGATAGAAGAATACTTTATAAAGTTAACAAAATTTTTCAAAAATAACTCGAACAATGTAATTTTTCATTGGAGGTTTAAAATATACTAAAACCATACTTGAAGGCAAATGTAAGGATAAGTCACTGTAACTGCTGCCATACGCAATTTTAAAAAGAAAAATGATACAGAGGAGATATTTTAATGGTGGTTACGTTTTCCAGAGGCCCCCATGCATTTCTGACATCTTTCTCAACCTTGCCTAAAAATCTTCCCAAATAAAGTACCATGTCTAAATCTTTCCATTTACATAGCTTCGAAGGGTCACAGGCAATCTGACTGCGCAGACATTCTTAAATTCCACTATTGTCAAACTGATTTATGCTTTTGAATTGGATTTATGTCAATTTGATTTATTTTTCTGCCTTTGGCCTATGCAATGTGAACTTACTGTAACCGAGTTGTCACCGGAGAAAGAGGATCCTCAGGGACAGAGAAGATAGTCCTCCCCGAGCACCGCTAATGGGAAGTAAAGCACAGCCTTGTCCTTCGCTCTCAGTGGCCCCCAAGCTCCAAAGAGCAGGCATTTTGGAATGTCAGGCACAGATTAAGAGCGTGGACTTTCTTGAGATTTGCAGAAATTAGCAGATAAATCCCATGCTTTCCAGAAAGTGACACTCCATACAGTTCTTTTGAAACAAATGTCTTATTTTTCTTCCTTTTTTTTTTTTGTTTTTTAGACATTTTTGCCATAGGTCAAATGTGTTCAGCGGGGAGAGAGACAGTGAAAGGGGATGTGAGAAATCACCCCAGGGGACACTCCAATCCCTTCTCCTCCTGGGACCTTGGGCATACACGCACACATACACACATGCATGGACTGATTTTCAAGCCACCGTGTCCAGGACTCGAACCTCAGTCAGCCATGTGTGAGTTGAGTGATGTCACCACCACCTTATCTGCTGGCCCCAAAAACAAGTTACAAAAAAATGGATGAGTTAGAAAAATATTTAGTACTCGTCACCGGTGAGTGATATCACAACTCTGTTCAACATATCTGGCTACAGACAGCCTTGTGGTTGTCTGGATTTTCCTTCATTGCTTCATTTGTCTTCTACAAATCTAAGATGTAAAGCAGACCACAGACCAGATCATAGGTATTGGGTCATCACTAAACAGTGCAATGGCAAGATTGCTTATCTTTACAAAGTATCTGCCGAAAATGCTTCCTCTTTGTTTTATTATTATTATTTTTTGGGGGGAGAGGTTTTTGCTATAGGGCGCGTGTGCTCACCAGAAAGACAGAGAGAGACAGAGAGACAGAAAGCGAGAAATCAGCCCCCAGGGGGGATGGCCACGCCACAATCCCTTCTCCTCCATTCTCCTCTCGGGATCTTGGGCACGCACGCACACGCACCGATGTGCATTTAAGCCACCGGGTCCGGGACTTGAACCACGGTAGACTACATGGGAGTCCGGCGACATAGCTATTACGCCAACTGCTAGTCCCAACACTGCCTCTTTAATAGTTATAATGTAGTGAGGAAGCACCTAGGAAGCCACCAAAGTATAGTTTCAATGACACATTTTTAAAATTTTTTTGAGAGGACCATTCTTTCCACTGAATAAAAAAAGAAAAAGAAAAAAAAAGTCATGATTTTTCAAGGCCATGCCAGTGCCAGAAAACGTGCTTGTCCAAGTGGACCCTGAGGTACAAAACAAGACCATAACATTTTACATTTTCTGTAAACTTGGAGCTGTAACTACCAACAGCTCTCTAGCCGCTTTCTTCTAATTAGCAACACTCAGGTAATAGGGCATCCAGAGAGTTATGAAAGCTCCTCTTTCCAGATCTCCAATCAGGGAAACAGCCTTGTCTTTCTAAGTTTATGTGCAGTTCTCTAATTGGAGAGAAGGTTCCAACTCGGTCTCACCAGAATTTTATAGACGTGAGAGGCCCAGTCCTGGAGGATGGTTCTGCTGGTCTCAAGGGACCTCTGACAAGTTGGACTCTTGCCAGAAGTCTGATATTCTTATGGAAATAATCTGAAGAACTTTATGCATCTCCCAAATTATCAAATAATACCATAGCCCTTCAGAAGCAGTAATGAATGCTCAAAGGGGCCAATGTAACTTTCTTGAACTGTGGAACTCAAAGTCCAGAGGACCCATTCTCTGCATCCAACACATCCTGTACATGCTTCAAATCTGTGTCCTGGGAAATGACAAAATATGACAGACTTGGCCAACGTTGTTGAAGCAACAAATGCCAACGTTCTAGTTTACTACCTCTTCAATCACCACAGCTTCAAGCATCTCGTTCTGTCTCAATAAAATGCACATCGGTCAGTGAAATAATAGAGAAGAATGCAGCCGATAGCTCGAGAAGAAAGCAGTGATTAAATACTGAATACTGTGACTATTACATCTTATGTCATCTAAAGAAATTTGATTACTGGAACCAGCAGATGGCTAATGGTTACGTTGGCAGATTCCCACATAGTTGACCACTTTTCGAGCCCCAGACCTGGTGACTTAAAACTCACACCAGGTGCATGTGTGCGTATGCCCAAGATCCCAAAAAGAGAATGGAGAAGAGATTGTGGTGTGGTCATCCCCTCTCCTTCGCCCCCAGGGATGTCGCTGGCAAGCACACTCACGCAATAGTGAAAATCTCTCAAAAATTTTTTTTTGATTATTTAGCTGTTTCCTCAAGACAGCTCTCTCTGACCTTTTGCAAGCTCACTCGGTGTGCTAGGAGAGGAAGAATCCAAATGTGCTTCAGATTCTTCCAACGCCCTGTGGCAAACGGGTAGAGCGTTTTCTGGCGTCACTGCCAGACATGTAACACTGAGATGTCATGGAGCGCCATTCCAGGACACACTGCAAACAAAGAAAGGACAGGTAAACAAGCGACACAATGTTGACGTAGGCTTTGTAACGAAATCACTTTACGACCGTTACCAAGCAACGGTGGCACCACGTCCACAGTTGTTTGAATCCTGGCCACAGATCCATGTACTAATGACAATCACATTGGGCTTTAACCAGAAAACTAAGCACTATTGCTTTGTCTACGCTTTATCCCAAAATGGCCCACATTCTCCATAGCCAAAATGTTATCTCGGCCCCTGGATTTATATAGTGGACCTCTACTACAAGGAAGTGCATCGACTGTAGGAAGTGGAGCCCTAACCAGAGAGTTCTGGCAATGATCAGAAGAACAGCAATGTCTATTGGGGTGAACTGAATCCAGCTGAACTATCATCACCATCCTTTTCTTTTTTTAGAGGTTTTGCCTCAGGGCACATGTACTTGCTGGAAAGAAAGAGAGAAACAGAGACAGTGAGCGGGAAAGTGAGAAATCATTCCCTGGGAGAGATGGCCATGTCATGATCCCTTCTCCTTCATTCTCCTTGTGGGGTCATGGGCATGCACACATGCACACCCAGTGTGATTTTCAAGACACCAGGTCTGGGACTCGAACTACAGTTGGCCATGTGGGAGTCCAGCAACATAATTGCTACACCATCTGCTGGTCCCTAGAAATATATTTCTGTCTTGTTTTTTTTTTTTATCCTTAGAAGTAATAGGCATTGAATTAACAGGCATTAAACAACTGAAAAAAAATGATGAGGGTCATAAACATCCCAGTGTGTGTGTGTTTTAATTTGCCAGAGGATGCATGTACTCAACAGCAAGAGATAGAGAGAGAGGGAGAAAAATCCCCCTCCCGTGATGCACGTTCATACCACAACCTTTTTTCCTCCATTTCTCCATTCTTTGAGAATTTTTCTGAGCATGATGCACACCTGCACCTGGCCTGTTTCTCAAGCTGCAGGGCCAGGATTTGAACCTTGCGGTCAACCATGTGGAATCTAACTTCCTTAATCACCAGGTCCTGAGCCAGCTCCTGTCTAATATATAAACACACATAATTCTATGCTATAAATAGTTGCACGAAATTAATTTTAAACAAAAAGGAAGCCAAAAAAGACATAAATCAAAGGGTAGTTTTGTAAAACAGAAGGAGTAAATTATATAATTTCATATTTCTATTTCTAAATTTCTCTTATTCCTTTCTGGGTACAAGTGTGCCTGAAATTTAGAAATCCAATATGCTCTATAAAATACGTCTTTTCTGCCCTCTTTAAGTATATCATTTCTCCTTCAAAAATACCAATAACATGTAATACAAATACATTCAAATGCCTGTAGAGGATCTGTATTATCCAATCCATGTTGCCTTAAAATAAGGAAATGGCAGACGGCTTAATGGGCTAACACTAGTTAAGGAATTAATAAATGCGGGTCATTAGTTATCTATCACTGCCTAACAAAACAGCAGCCAGAAACAGCACACATTTATGATCGCCCATTCTGCGATCAGGACTCCAAGCACAGCTCAGCTTGGTGCCTCTGGCTCTGAGTGGCAAAGAGACTGTAGTCAAGCCATTCCCTGGGGCTGTGTTCTCCTGAGACTGGAAAGGGGAAGGATGGACCTGCAAGGTGAAGTGGCTGGAGGTTGGCGATGCCTCAGGAGATCCTGGCCCTAGTTCCTTCATTTTGCATTTTCCATAGGTGGCCTCACAACAGAGCAGCTGGTTGGTGCAGGAGTGAATGATACAAGAACGAGCCAGGGGACACCGCAAAAGGAAACCACAGTTGTTTTTAACCTCGCCTTGTAAGTGACATTCCATAACGTTCGCCATAGGCTATTCATTAGCAAGGAATGAGACCAGCTCATGCTCTGAGCAAGGATGTTACACAGGAGGAAGGGACCTGGACTGGGGGAGGCGCTTTCCCATACTGCACTGACAGTGTCTTAGAAATCCCTCTTTCAGGTGACCCTTCTGCCTAATCAGCAATCACTCCTTGTATGTGATACCTGATTCAGAAATTCTATATCAATGCCATATCTGACCAATTCAGTCGATTGTACCTGCTAGACTAAAGGTGAAAGAAGCACATTTAAGTATTATTTATTCTTCCATATAAACAATGTTATGTCTTCCAAAGTAGGTAGGTCATTTCCGACATTGTGCAAGCCCAATTTGAACTTTTTTTTTCTTTCTTTCCTTCTTTCTTTTTAGATTTTTGCTATAGGGCTTGTGCATTCAACAGAGAGAGAAGAGAAATCACCCCCGAGAGGAACTGACCATGCCACAAATCCTTCTTCTCCATTTTCCTCTTCGAATTTTGGGCACACGAGCACACTCGCTCAGTTTGGGATTCCCCAAACTACCAGGACTGGGACTTGAGCCTCAGAATGGGCTGTGCAGGATCCAGTGCCCAACCACCATGCCACCTGCTGGCCCAAAACTTTTTACACTATTTAAAATCACCTTCAAACATGATTTCAAGTATTTGTTAAATGCCACTAAATTGTTTGGAAATGAAAATAGGTACAATGTTCACAAACTCAAGTTTAAACCTCAAGTAAAAACTGAGCTGACTTCTGTTTTAGCTTGCTAAAATATTTTCCTGATTCTGCAGAAGCGTGTTAAATGAAGAGAAATAGACATGAATGTGAAAGACTTGAAAAAACTTGGTTTATTCCAAATCGATTATTGCTTTCATTTTTAAATGTTAAAAAAGAGAAAACAGAGTATCAATCAAAAATAAGTATAATATCCATACCTGGATTTTAACTACAATTCCTGCCCATATGATAGCTATTCAACTTATTATGTTCCAAAGTAAGGAAAAAAAAAATCTGTGCAAGTCTCACTCCAGATCATTTATATAACTCTTTATATAAGCATCATTGAGGGTTAAATTTACATTTCAATTATGAGTCACCCCTTCTGTCCCTTCACAGTTTTCTAAAGCTTTTTTTAATGCATTCTGTATCAGGCTGTTACATTTTGGGATCTTTTTCTCAAGACAGAAATATAGTTATCAAACCATCAGAATCACATCAGATCCCTCTCCTTCACTATTTCTTTTAATATGGTGGGGTCAGACCACTCCTGTGACCTCCAGGTGTGTCAGAGGATGTCATGGTTGGGGGACTAAATCCTTTCAAGGCATCTGTCTCTCTGACCTGGCTCTTGCCTGGAGTTGGCCCTAAATTGAAACTATTAGATGTGACAAAAGACAGATACTAATGATCATGCATATCTGCAAAAATCACACCTCCTGACACAAACATCTTCTCAAGGTTTTCAGAGTACCCTCTGTCAAAATGATTCATCACTTTCAAGAATGTCATTTTAAGATATTTCTGCAATCACAGAAAACACATGCTGAGAATACTTTAAACTAGATCAGTTTAAATACATAGAAGTAACTTTATTTTCCAGGCTGCTTTCATTGTATAAGTAGAAGACATTATGCTAACTTAAAGGTTGCTCATAAATGATAATACATGCTAACATAAGAATTGTTGATAAAAATGTTACACATACACACACACACTCTCTCTCTGTCACACATTATAGATTCAGTCTCACACATATTGTAAAGAATAATTCAATGGTTTTTCATCTAAAGTAATGGTAAAATATACCTTTGCCAAAGCATAAAGGACACTTCTATGAATGTATATGTATCAAACTACCAAGATTTATAAGCTAAACAATTTAGAATGGAAATAATGAGTGCAAAAAGTAAGTTTCATTTAAAATTTTAAACACATTCCATGGGCTAAAAAATATCTAATTACCAGAGAAGAAACATAAATCTCTATTTTAACTCCTCCTAGAAAATAGTTGTTTTAACTATTTTGTAAATTCACCAGCTATAAATTTATATCTAGTCTTTTCTCTGGAGATGTTTTCTTAATGGAAAAATAGTCTTATTTAAGACCTTCATAGACAATGAAGTCAGTTTGCCCTGGCAATGAAATACGTGTTCTGGTAAAGAGTATCCTATTTCCAAGGATTTTTGCTAAACTATGGAGTGTCTTTGTGCAGATATAAAAACAGCAACTCCTGTGGTTCCATGAATGGTGTCCCTTCATTTGGCAGACATGGACTAAGCAGAAAGCACAGGCAGGAATTTAGCTACCTGTAGATCCCTCAAATGTACCACTTGTGAGACACACATACACAACGATCTGGGACGACCCTGTTTCAGGTGATGAGACTCTGAATGATTGGGGAGCAACACAAGTCACCAAGAAAACATTACAGCATAATGCACCCTGCTCTGCTCTAAAAGTTTATATTCTCCCAAATTCAAGTTGAAATTTAACTGTCATTGTAACAGTATCAAGAAGTGGGACCTCTCTGTGGTATTTAGGTCACAAGGGCAAAGCCATTCTTGTGAGACTGAATTTGTTATAATGGGAGTGAGTTCACCTTCTCTTGCTCTCTTTCAGGATCCAGGCCACTGCGCTGAGTCCCTATGAGGTCTTGCAGAGCCATGATGGTAGAGTAAACTGATACTCAGATCTGTACAGTTGCCTGCATATAATGTCAGCCTAGGGGAGCTACAAACACAAGCCTCCAACCTGTGAGATTGCTGCCTTGACTGAACTCAATCAAGTCACAGGAGCAGGACTTCCAATGGCCTTAAGTGCCCACCTTCCACACCAGGGATCCCAGAAAGTAGATTACATGGAGTCCAAGTAGATTAACATGGAGTCCAAGTAGATTATTCTGGAGCCATAAGATTTAATGTTGTTGCCTCTGTTGGCTTTTGTATTTGCTTAGCTTCTGTTCTCTCTTTTCCTGCCTATTCCTCCCTTTTGAAATGAGAATAACTGTTTTATGCCTACTCTACCATTGTATTTTAGAAGTAGAGAACTTGGAGCCAGCAGGTGGCATTTGGTTAAGGTCACTGGTCTCCCACATGGCTGACCACAGTTTGAGTATCAGGATGGTGTCTTTCTCTCTCTCTCTCTCTCTCTCTCTCCTCTCCCCTCCTCTCTGGTCAAA